ATGTGCTTCTTCTTGAGCCACTCCTTTGTTGCCTTGGCCGTGTGTTTTGGATCATTGTCATGCTGGAATACCCATCCACGACCCATTTTCAATGCCCTGGCTGAGGGAAGGAGGTTCTCACCCAAGATTTGACGGTACATGGCCCCGTCCATCGTCCCTTTGATGCGGTGAAGTTGTCCTGTCCCCTTAGCAGAAAAACACCCCCAAAGTATGTTTCCACCTCCATGTTTGACGGTGGGGATGGTGTTCTTGGGGTCATAGGCAGCATTCCTCCTCCTCCAAACAGCGAGTTGAGTTGATGCCAAAGAGCTCCATTTTGGTCTCATCTGACCACAACACTTTCACCCAGTTGTCCTCTGAATCATTCAGATGTTCATTGGCAAACTTCAGACGGGCATGTATATGTGCTTTCTTGAGCAGGGGGACCTTGTGGGCGCGCAGAATTTCAGTCCTTCACGGCGTAGTGTGTTACCAATTATTTTCTTGGTGACTATGGTCCCAGCTGCCTTGAGATCATTGACAAGATCCTCCCGTGTAGTTCTGGACTGATTCCGCACCGTTCTCATGATCATTGCAACTCAACGAGGTGAGATCTTGCATGGAGCCCCAGGCCGCGGAAGATTGACAGTTCTTTTGTGTTTCTTCCATTTGCGAATAATCGCACCAACTGTTGTCACCTTCTGACAAAGCTGCTTGGCAATGGTCTTGTAGCCCATTCCAGCCTTGTGTAGGTCTACAATCTTGTTCTTGACATCCTTGGAGAGCTCTTTGATCTTGGCCATTGTGGAGAGTTTGGAATCTGATTGATTGATTGCTTCTGTGGGCAGGTGTCTTTTATACAGGTAACAAGCTGAGATTAGGAGCACTCCCTTTAAGAGTGTGCTCCTAATCTCAGCTCGTTACCTGTATAAAAGACACCTGGGAGCCAGAAATCTTTCTGATTAAGAGGGGGTCAAATACTTATTTCCCTCATTAAAATGCAAATCAATTTATAACATTTTTTGCCATGCGTTTTTCTGGATTTTGTTGTTGTTATTCTGTCTCCCACTGTTCAAATAAACCTACCATTAAAATTATAGACTGATAACTTCTTTGTCAGTGGGCAAATGTACCAAATCAGCAGAGGATCAAATACTTTTTTTCCCTCACTGTAGCTCTTATCAGACAGTTGGGCAAAGTACTGTTAGCGAGCACTTCAGGCCTGGCGAGGCGGCACGAAGGGATGGTGTGGCTGAAAGCAGGTATTCATTTAAGGCTGATTCGACTTGGTGAAGGCCCAGGAACGGAACAGATAATGACACTTGATGATCCTCTGGTCATGAATTGAACCCAGGGCACCAAAATTGTAGAGCAGTGGGCGAGCTAAATACACGCGCAAACGAGTTAACGCTCGCAAATGAGTTTATCATGGTCTCTCAAGTTCTCACCTGGATTAACAAAACGTAATTAGTCTACTTAAACTGACCACACACACAAACTCTCTCTGCACCAGGTACACACTCTACATTCCACCACCACCACTCTCTCATATAAGCCATGGCTGGGAATCCAACCCATATGACCTGGGTTCGAAGTGCAGTGTGCCAACCGCTTTGCCGCACATTGTGGGTACAGGCATATATAATAATCGGAACTCTCACTGTCCTTGAATGAATAAGCAGAATCAATATATTAATGCTTAAGGAATCCGATTATCTATAAAGCTCGTTTTCACTGATGTCCAGTAGGGGCGGGTCAGAAACAATATTGCCCTTCGACCTATTGGCTTTCCAGACCAAAGTTACCCAGCAGTATTTTATTTAGGCAAACAAACTCTGAACCGGTTTCGACATGCTGAGTCGCATCAGCAAAGTAACTATCACCCTTATAGCCTTAACAGACTGTTGGGGCAAGTGCTGTTAGCGGGCACCTATGAAGGCTGGCACGGCAGGTGAAGTGGTGTGGCCAGAAACACACCCGGGCCGCCTTTGTCTCCCCAGTGGCATGGTTTACACATTGCAGCAGGCACAGTGCTCATTTAAGAATGAGTCGGTCCTAGGGGGGAGGCCCAGGACCGGTTCAGATAATCGTCACTGGTGTTGGCCGTTAGCTGGGATCGAACTCGGGTCGCCAGGTTCATAGCGCAGCGTGCCGCCTACTGCACGACAACTCCCTCGCGCACACAGACACACGATTGTGTGCGTGTCTGTTACCACAAGCGCGTGCGTCACTTGTGTTGCTCACGAGGGGCCTTTGTGACATTTCCACCACTTCCTGTGCCGCGAAAGAGAGAAAAAAAAAGCGAGATCGGCTTCACTGTAAACGGCGCGACCTTAACGTGACCTTGTATCTCCCCTTGCGGTGGCGAGACACACCCCCCCCCCCCTTGCTGCTCACTCGCCGGCTGTTGCTGCTGCAGCCCTGGCTGGGTTGGTTGGAAGGGTTTATAACATATATAATAAATAAAGAGGGGTGCGTTAAATAAATATATAAGGTGCAAAAATTTCAGAGGACTGCGCAAAAACACAAGCTTGCCTATGTGGTCTCCCATGTCTAGTTTCCACCCAGACGCGGTGATCATTTAGCCCGTGACGAATTCGTGCGTCTCTTAATTGATGAATTGGTCCGATTCTAGGATCAAGATTCAACTTTAGAATTGTCTTTTTTGACATGATTGTGGGTTGTAGTTGGCACCTTGTTGCTGCAGGGGCACATTAACTAACTAGCGATGATTCGGGCCTCTTCATTGATTGGCTGAATTCTCAAGATTTGCAGTCGCTTCGTCTGTAGAATCGATTTTTTTACTCGACTATAAAACTTTTTTTTTACCAGGTAAGGCCAACTGAGCTATATAGCTATTTCTTGTAGAAGTGACCTGGCTATCACAAATGACAGGTCAACGAAGTGGCTTATTATCGTGTGGAAATTGATAGCAGCCACTTACTCTGAACGCACGTTGATTCTAAATGTGGAGGGAAAAACCGGAGGACCCAGAGAAGACTCCACACTACCACGGGGAGAGAGACGCGCAAACTCCAAATATACAGCAGGCGTCAGTCAGTATCGAACCCACAACTACCTGTATACCTGGCGAACGAGGTAACATCTCGCCAGCGTCAGGTTAAAGCTCATGCCTCTTGTGGCTACAGGGGTCACACAAAGCTAATTACGTACGACATAAATGATCTGAAGACATAAGATTCGCACGCACGATTTGACGCATTTATATTGAGTGTAAGAATCGATTTTTAAATCAATTGAAATGTATACGTCGTTAAACCATAGTAGAATTGTTATTTGTACTTGGTTGTATTTTGTGCGATATTCAGGCAACTGATTGGCATTCCGTGTCTCGATAATGTATGTATGTTGAACCTCTTTCGCGCACCATATGTATAGCCAACCGTGCTAATAACCTCGTTTTTTTCAAGGCTCTGTTTGCTGTTTAATAAAAAATCTCAAAGTCGCAACCCTGACAATACTTATTCATGCCACTGCTAGCAGAAGGGCTTCCCCTCGAGGCAGCTTTAGAGAACCCCTCCAGAGGACGTCTTTGAAAAGTTCAGCGTACGAGACCCGCCGATAAAGTAGCTGTGGCGTGTTAACCCCTTAATGTTGGTGAGTGGACAGAGGCAGAGAGTTGTAATAAACTTGCAGCGTTGTTTCAACTGCCACACCCCGGGACATCGAATCGAACTGGTCAACTGGATTGCAAGTCCAGTGTCCTAATCGCTAATCGTTTTTGGCTGTGCAAGGATGGAATCTGAAATAAGGCTGAAACACCATTACAGCGCAATCTGTTTTATCTGTTTTCCGTGCTCGATATTGTTCTCTGGCCACAGTGATAAGGATCGGGCTGCTGCGGGGTGAGTTTGCAGTTCTCGATGGTGTTTTTTTGTTTCCTTGCAAATATGTGTGGCGGTAGTTGTTTGGAGGGTCAGAAACTCGGGCCACCACTGTCGTTTGGAATTCATCCCGGAGGCATTCACGTGTTGAGTTTTCCACAGTTATTTAGTACGCATTGTTTTGACAAACACAGGCTTGACCAGTGGCCGCCCACCCCTCCCCACGGCACTCCTCGTTCACACTGCACCACCGCGCGCGTTACCAAGGTGCTCTGACAAACCGCACCAGCTTCACGCGGTGGCACGTGGGTAGCGGGGGTTGTTTGAGCGTGTTTCGCCACACCGGCCAGAGCTGGTTGGAGAGTGCGGGATGCATGGGTGCCGGGGTGTGGAATTAAAGTACAAGTGGGTTTGCCTGCACCATCCTCTGCTAATTATGCCTCGTGGCCCCACGACAGCCGGCAGTAAACCGGTCTTGTACGGCGTTGGTCGACAAAGGAGAGTTAAACCAGCAGTGGTCTGAATGTGAAAATGTATTTATTCAACGCATTCATAAAAACGTCTTGTTATCCCATTCCAGAGGAGGATACGTTTTTGAAAGGACGTTTGCATTTTTATTCATTAAATGTACTTGCCAAAAAAACTTTTTAAGACGAATGTAGGGCACTTCTATAGGAACAAATGTGAAAATTGGAAACCCAGAAATTGTAGTGTTAAACGTGTAGGTACTGGTGACAATACATTTATCAGAGATGCACCCGCAGGCCCAGGGGTGGGGAAAGGGGCAGTTTCCATTTAACGCCCCCATTCCCGACTTTTTTTTATAACAAAAGCATGTTACTCATTTGATTATAATAAATATTAATGTTTCTATATTGAATACATTGAGTCAGTGATTCGAGTTTCATTTAAAATTAAAACCAAGTTATGCAAACTTGTTTCTGACTTGGTACTCGTGATAGGAAAACAACGTTTAGCCGGGTGCACCCCTTGCACCGAACGAGCTTTACTTTGGTTGGGCCACACCAGACGCACGACGGATCCCGTCCGATCAGAGCCACGTGTGACCAGTCGCAGACGCTCATAATCGCGACTCTATTTTAAAAACGACCTTTTTTCTCCTCCACCTTCCGACCCACCCGCCCCCCTGCCACCGCCGACCTTATCCCTCCCAAGCAGGGTGAACTCTGAGCGGCGGAAGGAGAAGTCTCGCGACGCTGCGCGATGTCGGCGCAGCAACGAGACGGAGGTGTTCTACGAGCTCGCCAACGAGCTGCCTCTCCCCCACAGCGTCACCTCGCACCTCGACAAGGCCTCCATCATGCGGCTCGCCATCAGCTACCTGCGCATGCGCAAACTGTTGCACAACGGTGAGAGACGGCGCCGCCGTGACCTCCGACCCCGCCCCCCCCCCCCACCCCGCTCTTCCGGCCGTTGATTGTGTCTGCGTGTTGAGGACTTCCTCACAATTCTGGAAATTCGCCTGATGAAGCTGGTTGTAATCAGCGAAATGTCGTACTCCATTTGTAAACGTTGTTTGTTTACGTGACAAATCTTACTATTTGCCTGTATATTTATGCGATCTAACCTAAAAACCTTTATGGTGGATAATATTGGTCGCGAAAGCCTATGTGTTAAACTATGTTCAACTTCTTTCGCACCGTACGTAGCTAACAGTGCTAATCGGAGGTGCGGGGAAACACAACAAACTAAACACAAAAGCAGTTCTAAAGAAATTAGTTTTCAATCTAGTTTTAAAGATGCATAGCTCCAGTGGCTTCCTAATATAGGAAGGAAGAGCGTTCCAGTGCTTAAATGTGAAAATAGTGGTGGTTGAATGAGGGTGGTGGTGAAAGTGGTGATGCTGGTTGCAGAGAGGTGGTGGCGATGATGGTGGTGGTCATGGTGGTGGTGCTGCTACCTGTGCTTCTGCTGGTGGTGCTGTTTTAATTGGTAGTGTAGTGTTGGAGGTTGTGGTGATCGAGATGATGATGGTGCTGCTTCTTCTGCCGGTGCCTGTGGAGGTAGCGAAGAGTCACGGTGACATGAGAGGAGTGCGTGGCTAACTTGCAAAATTCGAAAACAGAGTAGGCGCGCAGTCCGTTCCCTCGCTCGGCACCCCGCTCCGTACTCTGGAAATCGTTTGCTTTGGACACCGTGATTCTGCTGCGTGCACACTGCTGGCCTCTATGATCGGTTTCGCAGTATTTAACATGTATATTTATATATTACTTTGCTCCGGCAGTCATTTTCCCGCCAGTGAGTCATGTCAAAGTATTCTCGACAGACAGCATTTCACTTTCCAGTGGGTTTTATATTATTATTCTTTGGGTCTTTCGGTAAAGCCACGTAGATAGAAAAAATAATACAATATCACGACGTTTTGATCGCAACACAAGCAATCGTCTTCAGGTGAAAAAATAAGAAGACGATTGCTTGTGTTGCGATCGAAACGTCGTGATATTGTATTATTTTTTTTATATCTAAGTGGCTTTACCGAAAGACCCAAAGAATATGAATTCCTGCAGTCACGAAAGCTTTAAGTCAGGGTTTTATATTTGTTTTACAATATTCCTGCACTGTAACTCTTCCACCCGCACAACATGGGGAGGCCCTCATCCAGGAGTGCATTCGCAATTCGTCTATATATATAAACGTCTTCATTATCATCATCAGCCATGGTCAATCCACTGCTGGATGAAGGCCTCCCCAAGTCGTCACCACCTTTCAAGAGCCTACCACATAATAATCCACCGGGCACCTTTGCTCGAGCTGATTTAATCGCTCCATCTCCTTTCAGATGCGTTTCATTCCTTGTCGACCATTACTTTTTTTCCCGCTCATATTCAAGCGGTTGTCTGGTGGATTGTTGAATCACAGGACCGCGAGACATGGCTTCATGCTGACCGATAGAAGATGATCTGATGGCGTCAATGTCAGTAAAAATAAATAAATATGTGACACCAAGAAAGCGGTTTGAGCACATTCACCGTGGTCGGCACCTTGCCCACAGATACAGACCGGCTTGTGGCTGCTGCGCCGCGCAAGCCGCGGTAACAGCGATGACTCGCTGTCCACGGAATCGCGCGTTTCAATCGCTCCCCTTTTTATACGCAATGGCGAGCAAATGCCTCTTGTGCCCACTTGGATCCCGAGCCTGGGCGCCAGCGGATGGTGGACAGGGAAGGATCTGTTCAGAAATGGGGTGGGCAGCCGCTGAATGATGGAATTGGTTATTCAGCTGTGGGTTATCCTGGATGGGAGCCACTCCAAATTGTGGATCCAGGCTGCATCTGCGTGCTGCTGTAAAAATTCTCACTCAAGTGACGACTCCATCGAGGAGTGGTTTGCCAACACGACCTCCACGTTGCTGGATTACATTGCGTGCGTCCTGGCATAGATTTGTATGATGAGTAACCCGAAGAAATTAGATGAATTGCCACAATTCATGGTCAAGATTCCATTGAAAGATCGCTCATTACAATCGCTCCATTTAGACGCAATGGCAAGCAAGCAGTGAGTGTTGAGCGCCACTGTGCCCACGTGGAGCCTGAGCTGGGCATCGTTGGATCCTAGGCAGGGTGTAGGGTCTGCTCAGAAATAGCGCGGGCAACCGCACTAGGCGGCCCATTTACAATAGATAGTGATCATTCCTCGGGACGATTTGAATTTTAGGATCGGATGCTTTGCTTTGTTTGTTATCTGGCTTGTACTGTCCCATTTGCCAGTCATCTCAGTCAACTTGTAACACCAGGTTCTGTCTTCTGACCCCCTTGCAAGTCGCAAGCCTTCTTCCACACTTCATGTGGCCTCAACATGCACGCCTATCCTGGCACAAGCGCCCTGGTGACATCACCGCCACTTAGTGGCCAACTGGCGGCTGTTGTCGTCGCCCTGTCCTTGGCACGCGCTTTGTCGCGTACAGTCTGTCTCTTGTTTCATTAATCTAAAGAAAAACACCGCCTATAGTTTGCGTCAGCGATAAATAATAGATTCTTCAATACACAATTGGATGCATGGATCTTGAGCTTAATTTCAGTCTGTGCGTTGGTTTAATTGATGCGTATTTTTTCTGGAAACTGACATTCTTGCAAATCCTGGTCTTCTTAAGTTCTCTCACTTAAACGAATAAACATTTCTTAACTTTAACTCAAACCCTTAATAATAAGCTCTATTTTATACAGCACCTTTCCTATCGAAATATCTCAGCTCTGTACATAAAAAAATTGTAACTACACTCACAAGTGTCGATAGAATGTAGGCGAAATAGAAAGCTGATAATAACGATATCAATGACACTACACTCAAAATACTAATGAAATGAAGAATACACTGATGAAAACGAATAATAATTATTAATCAAAAATTGCACAGTAATCCAATTGGACAAAAGGAAAAGCTAATGATTAAAAATTACTTTTAAAATCTTTCCTTACGGGGAAAGCCAGTGCAAATAGGTTTCTAAATATGGAGGCCTTCTCAGGGCAGCTCATTTGAACCTGAATCCCATCAGCGTAAACATTAAGAGGTGATGCACTGTCACCTGAGATGCTGTAAATGTTCATTGCCCTCTGCACTTTGGATTGCGGAGCTTTAAACAAGGCAACCAAATAAATAAATCAGTAAAACTCTGGTTAAGAACTTTCTCGTATCACCCCAGCTACAGATGACAGTTACATATGACATGGTGGCATTAAACCGTTGTAAGTTCACTGCCGTTGCCCTGTGCGTCTGCCCTTGTGGGGTTTATGTTGTTGTCCTTTTCCCGCAGTTTTGTCCGGGTGGTTGCATTGTGAGATAAATTATTATCTGTCTTTTTTTTCTCGCTGAGCAGCAGTGCAGCCCTTCCTTTTAGAGAGTGGCCCACAGAAGCATGTATCCCTTCTTCAAGTTACCTCTCTGCTCGACACAAAGCAGTGAGCAGCACTTCCCCACCCGCTGTGCCATTTGCGAGTAATGTTTGTGGCACGAAAGCCAATATTTTTCATTCTCAGAGCTCGAATTTGGCCAAATTAGGTGCACAACCTGATTGAATGCGGTGACTGGGCTGACACACAAACTTGCGAGACTTTAGAACCCAGTTTATAATCACAGGTGGCTGCACTGGATTCCAATCCAGGATCTTCGTGGTGCCAGATTCTGTACTCTGACCTCTGGGTTACTTTGCCCCCCCGCCCTCGCCTTTCTGGGCTGTATTGTTTTCATACTCATGATTACCGCTGCTTTCACCACCCCAGCACTCTCCCTCTCCATCAAGGAAAGGTCATGATTAACGGTCCTATATTTAAACGGCTACTTGCCTGCGTATGAGGAGGACCACCGTCTGCACCGCCACGCAGTTTGGGAATTTGGCGCACGTCGGTATGAGGGTGGCGGGGGGGGTTGAACATGAACACTGCACCCATGCCACACAGTCCCCCACCCTGTCCCCCCCCACGCGTGTGCCAGTCGCGTCAGCGATGATAACTGTCGGGCGCGTGTCACCCGCCACCTGCCTGAGAATTCGTAATCATCATCACAATCGGCGCTGAGTAACGCGCTGCTGCATAGAAGCCTGACCAAATCAACACCCCCCCCCCCCCTCCCCCCGCTCATTGCCCTACAATGTAACGATACATCTGCCACCTACCCATTGGCCGATTTCGTCGCTCCGTCTCCACGACGTACGTGCTTTCCCTCCATTGGCTGCCGCTCCCAACATTAATCTCGGAAACAACGGCCATCACTCCTTCAAACGGCGTTTCCTGCTCAACCCCACTTGTTATAGCGGTCAATATTGTGACGTCTCTAACTTGCGTATGTGCCTCCTCCTGTCTCTCAAAGTAAATTGTAAGCGTGCACTTACCCATGCTTGTATGTGCACTTTTCAGATTTCGTTACCGTTTTCTTTGTCACTGTCTCTTTTGTATTTCTGATCCATTTGCCAAAGCGGGTCATTCGCACCTATTGAAATTTTTCTTTCTGGTGTGTTCCATTTAGTTATCAAGTTCATCTTTTCAAAAGCACCCCAACCCGCTCTTGTCCGTCAATTTATTTCATCATTTTGATCGCGATTATGTGACTGAAAATGCAGCTGCTTACCGCGTTCCTTGCGCTGTCTCATGCACTTATCCCGGTCTGGAGGTGATGGGGGAGTTGCCGTGGCAACGAGGGGGGGAGTTGGTGGGGGGGGGATATAGGTTCGGTGGGGGTCGCGGGCGGCAGTGGCGGTTGATGCTGCAGGGTCAGACGATGGATAAATAGGTGGTGGTGGTGGTGGTGGGATTAGTGCTTAAATTTGACCAAATTGGCCGAAACAAATGGGAGGCTGCTGCTGGCTAGATGACCATGCAAACGAGATGGAGACTCGCACGCACAGCAACACGAATGAGACATTGCGAAGTCAACCAACAATAGCAAAAAAAAACTATTTTAGAATCAAAATGCAATTCCGATTTGTGGGAAGTTGCTAAATCACTGTAAGGAGCGGGAGGTGCCAAGCTTACAAAGGCTCAGGGTGTTTGGGGAACATTGATACGGGCTGTGCTACTGCTCCTGGGAGTTATAACTGGCCTGTTCCTGGGCCAACGAAGAACGGTTCCCAGTGCTCGTGGAAACGATGCTTTAAAACTCACTGTGGCCTCTCTCTGCCCCGGCTGGCTTGCAGGAGCGGTGGTTGAAGACTGCCAAGAAGAGATGGACAGCCTCTTCGGCAAGGCCCTGGAGGGCTTCGTCATGGCCCTCACGGAGGAGGGCGACATGGTGTTCCTGTCGGATGGTGTCAACAAGTGTGTGGGCCTGGCCCAGGTGCGATCATGGTGGCTGCTGTGACTTGTAGGAACAGTGAGTGGGTGGGTGAGTGAGTGGGTGGATGGGTGAGTGAGTGGGTGGGTGAGTGAGTGGGTGGGTGAGTGAGTGGGTGGGTGAGTGAGTGGGTGAGTGAGTGGGTGGCTTAATACACGAGTGGGTGGCTTAATACACGAGTGTGTGTTTGTGTGTGATTTAGGGTTCGATTGCTGCTCACGGCCAACACCAGTGACGATTATCTGAACTGGTCCTTGGCCTCCCCTAGGTTGACTCGGCCTTGAATGAGTACCTGGTGTGGTGCGTAAACATCTCCACAAGGAAAACAAAGGTGGCCGAGTGTGGTTCTGGCCACTCGCCCTCTCGTGTGCCATGCTAGGCTTCATAGGTGCTTGCTGACAGCACTTTCCCCAACAGTCTGTTGAAGGCGATACATGGGATCTTTTTCTTTTATTTTGGTGTCAGCGGGTTAGTGAGCGAGTGAAGGAGTTAATAACGGAGTATGTGGCTGGATGGATGGATAGGTGAACGATTGAGTGGACGAGTAGTTAAAGGGCTGAAGTGTCTGAGTTGGTGAGAGTGAAGGTAGAAGTGATTTACGGAGCAATTGGGAAACTGAAAATGCAATTAATGTACCGAGTAAAGAGCAATGGGTTACTTGGTAACTGTGTGATTGAGCCATCGACCGAGCGACTGAATGAGAGACTGAATGATTGCAATGAGCTCACGAGCGAATGGCCACGCGGGGACGATTAAAGACATCACTCATGACACTGGTTGTGATTTGTTCTCTCACCTTGTAGGTGGACCTCATGGGTCACAGCATCTTCGACTTTGTTCACCCATGTGACCAAGAGGAGGTGCGGGAGATGCTCGTATACAGACAAGGTGCGTCGGTAAAAGCCCCTCCCTCGGAAGTCTGCCAGGGATGTGGCATCCCCTATGAGGCAACACGAAAACCCCCAACCTTGCTTTTAGAACATGCCTGAAGCCCGCAGCGGGTCCTCGCGTGTATTCGGCATGCAACAGCGCAGCGATTTGTCAATTATAGAGTTTTAACGCTCATTATAAATGTATTGAATTGTGCCATCACGACAAGCTATCCGTCCGTTATGGAAATGAAATTAATGGTAAATTAGGGTCACAATGTAGTCTGACGGCAGAAACTAAACTGTACAAAAACGGTTCAAGTAAAATATTATGTTAAACTGTTACAGAGATGTGAGCCGAATATTTATTTGTATACTTTCACTTGATAATATGCATTTAGTGTGATATTGAATGAAATGCGTGCTGCACACTTCTTTTGCAGATGCAAAAAAAATAATGAATAACGTGATATGGAACGTTCTGGCAAAATTACTCCCTCATTAAATTAATTGCACAATACCCCATGGAATCGATGAACGGCTTCAATTAACCGGACATTCCATAAGGTCACGTAGTAATTACATGCATGCTGTGGAAAGTTCTAGAAGGTCGTGTTATATTAAATACATTAAGTAAAAAAATAGCTTATCAAACTGTGTTTACTGAGACTGTAAAGGTAAAGAATGAACTTTAAACACAAATTTAATTACGTAGCCACATTCGTGAAGCGCAGCTGAGAATAATTTGCAGACGAGTTGCACGCACATCTCATTTACAATGCCCTCGTACAATTCAATTCTAAGCATCGTAATGGAATGTGATCAAATACGTTTCTGTACTGTTTGGTTCTTTCGGTAAAGTCACATAGAAAGAAAATAAATTAAATAATATAATACAACGTTTCGGTTGCAACACAAGCAACCGTCATCAGGTAGAACTAAATTTGAGAGAGAGACAAAACACAGACACGGAGACACACAAGCAGAGAGAGACAACGCATAGACACACAACATAGACACACAGAGACCCAATGCCTCTGTGTCGAGGCCTTAAATAGAGAGAGAGAGGTGGGTCTGCTGGGGCAGCTGCTGGAGCAGAGAAATTAGCTTGTGTGTCTCCATGTCTGTGTTTTGTCTCTCTCTCAAATTTAGTTCAACCTGATGACGACTGCTTGTGTTGCAATCGAAACGTCGTATTCTATTATTTAATTTATTTTCTTTCTGCGTGACTTTACCGAAAGAACCAAAGAGTAATTCCTGCAGTCACGAAAGCTTCAAATCACGTTTCTGTACGTTGTGTTGTGTCAACACTTCGGCGAACACGTGGGCGGAACATCTGGTTCGTTTCCTGTCGATGCTAAAACTCAGACGGCGCCCATCCTCCAATGACCACGGGGGGGGAGGCTCTCGTCTCTCTTTCCTGTGCTGATCTCTGGTGAAAATTCCTGTGGTGGAAAGCCACAGGTGGTTCGTATGTGCCAGTGCGGTCATGCGCCGCATCATAAACCTGGCTACCCGGTTCCCGGCTACGGCTAACATCGGCGATATCTGAACCCGCCATGGGACCAATACCTAGCTTTTGGCCAACCTGCACTGACCAACGTAGATACATGTGGTCAAATAATACCCGTAACCGACACGGTATGGGATGGGAAGGCCCTCATCCAGCAGTGGATTACCGAAAGGGCTCTACTTGTGTACTACCGAGTGATCAAAATTGGCTCGAAAATACACAGCTTTGGTGTGAACATATCCAAGGAGTCCTCTAACACAGCGGTGGCTCCCGCAGTGAAGCATTGAGCCACCTCTAAGAAAAGAAAAACACGCACGTAGCTGTGTGCTTTGGAGCTATGCTTGTGTTTGGTTAACTCTGTGCAGCACTGACTTTTGACTGCAGCCATCGAGCGACGGCAAACGTAACGCCGGGCTCTGCCGTGTGTTTGCGTGTGCGTGCATGCGCGTGTGTGTGCGCGCGGTGCTCGGCAGCAGCGGGAAAGAAAGCGAAGGAGGGGAGCACTGAGCGAGACTTCTTCATGAGGATGAAGTGCACGCTCACGAATCGCGGGCGCACCGTCAACCTCAAGTCCGCATCGTGGAAGGTGGGCGTTTCATTGTTTCGTGTGTGTGTCTATTTAGGTGCGTCTGTATTTGGCACAGTGGGGAGCACGCGGTGCATATGTCGAGTCATTTCAGGCAGTTAACACATAACTCTTGGGTCTGTCCCGTGTCCTCCTGTCAACGAGCCATCGACACTTCACAAGTCCTCAAGGTGCACCGAGCCTGGCGCAACGGCTGTGATGACGTTACCAGCACTTGGTGACGAATGGCGGCTGTTCTTGATGTTGCCTGGTTTTTTTCTTCCTGTGTGTATTTAATGCGTAAAACTAACCCACCCGGTTAGGGTGGTGCAGTGATGATGTCGTATGGACGATTAAGACAGAGTTTACTGCGTGTTGATATCCGCTGAAGAGCTTTGGGAGATGCGGAGTTCGCATGGTTTGGTTAATGCGAGGAGAAATGTATCTGCCGAGCTGGGTTGTATTCACGTCCACGGCTAACGTTCGGTGGTGAATATCGGAGCCGGTACGGCACCTCCCCCAGGTCGACTCAAGTCTCAAATGAGTACCTGGTGCGGTGAGTAATTGTCAGCAGTGGGAAGACAAGTGTTGCCGAGCCTGGTGCTAGCCACACCACTCACCCACGCATGCGCGATGCCGACATCAATGGATGCTCACTAACAGCACTTGCACTCACAGCCTGAAATGCTAAATGGAGGGGGGTGGGCGGGGGAGGTGGGGGTGAAACATCTCGTTCCTGTGTGTTGGCAAAGTTCCATTGAATGGGTTGTAAAAACACTCCTTAACTGGGCAGATTTTAGATGTGATAGGATGAGATATTTGCCAATATCTAGGCTGTGTGGTTGTTTCATATGCTTCTGTCATGTGCTGCTGAAGATCACTAAAACCAAAAGAATATTCTGGGAAAAAAAGAACGCAAGTATAAATCACGAATACCGTGTCAAACGTTGCAATAAGACTACTGTCGCAGTCTAAATTCGTCGGTAAAGGGTGATGGCCGTGTAGAAATTCGCGCAGTGTTTTTACTGTTCGCAATATGCTCCCACGCACGGTCATTTCCTGCGTATAAAAGAAAAAAAAAGCAACCCAGAAGTCTCCCTGAGCTGAATTACATTATCGCTGCTGGTCAGTGATGATGCAATTTGTGCAAGCCCGGCATGTGTGTGTGCACGCTATTTGTCAACTGTCTGTCGGCTACTTCTTAGTTTTTTCGGTAAAGTCACGTTGAAGAGAAACAACAAAATAACAAAATATATATAAAACAATAAAAAATTCTCACGACGTTTCGACCATAACTCAAACGGTCATCATCAGGTGTGTCGGTTTGCATAAATTTATTTTGAAAACGGCATATTTATTTATATATATAAAAATAACGTTTGCGTCACGCGCAACGATGGCAGTTTGCCAGGACTAGTCCATCTATTTTTTTTTTGAAAAGAGGAGGGGGGAGACGAAATTTGTTTTTATGTATGCTGTCTGAAAGGCACTGTAAGCGTGAACAATCAATCAAGAACTGAAATGATTTATCAAATCTTTCCAATGATTGCTAAGATAGAATCCATCTTCTCGGTTGAAATTGTCTCTGTGTTTGTATATGTGGATAGCCTCATGAACGAATCTCTCATGGAAGCCAGATGGCTTACAAAGAACCTCCGTCTTGGAAAAGTCAATGGCATGTGAGCCTACTGAATTAGAACAATGATCTGCTACGGCCGAGGTGTTGGTCCTACCGTGTTTAAGGTCTGCTTTATGTTCACGAATGCGGTCCGAGATATGGCGTTTGGTTTCTCCAATGTAACTACTACCACAGAGGCAACTTAGTTTGTAGACACCAGGGTATTGTATGTCCGGAATCACATCTTTTACAGACGGAACCAGATCACGGATTTTATGTAATGTGTTGAAACGGACCTGGATCTTGTGTTTATTCAAGATTTTGGAGATCTTTTTTGTGATCCCAGCAATGTAGGGTAAAGTGATGGTTTTGAAAGGCTCCTCAAGAGGGTTCTTCTTCATGGTTTGAGTGATAGCTTTGCGGATTGTATAGTCGGAGTAACCATTAGCCCTAAGAGCTTGGTGTACGTGCTTGAGTTCACTGCTTATGTGTTCCTGGTCGGATATGCATTGGGCTCTATGATACAGAGTCTTGATGAGAGAATTCTTCTGTGATGGATGGTGGTGGGAATCCGGTTTCAGATAAGCATCCGTATGGGTAGCTTTCCTGTAGACAGAGTGGCTCATTGAACCACCATCTCATCAAGACTCTGTATCATAGAGCCCAATGCATATCCGACCAGGAACACATAAGCAGTGAACTCAAGCACGTACACCAAGCTCTTAGGGCTAATGGTTACTCCGACTATACAATCCGCAAAGCTATCACTCAAACCATGAAGAAGAACCCTCTTGAGGAGCCTTTCAAAACCATCACTTTACCCTACATTGCTGGGATCACAAAAAAGATCTCCAAAATCTTGAATAAACACAAGATCCAGGTCCGTTTCAACACATTACATAAAATCCGTGATCTGGTTCCGTCTGTAAAAGATGTGATTCCGGACATACAATACCCTGGTGTCTACAAACTAAGTTGCCTCTGTGGTAGTAGTTACATTGGAGAAACCAAACGCCATATCTCGGACCGCATTCGTGAACATAAAGCAGACCTTAAACACGGTAGGACCAACACCTCGGCCGTAGCAGATCATTGTTCTAATTCAGTAGGCTCACATGCCATTGACTTTTCCAAGACGGAGGTTCTTTGTAAGCCATCTGGCTTCCATGAGAGATTCGTTCATGAGGCTATCCACATATACAAACACAGAGACAATTTCAACCGAGAAGATGGATTCTATCTTAGCAATCATTGGAAAGATTTGATAAATCATTTCAGTTCTTGATTGATTGTTCACGCTTACAGTGCCTTTCAGACAGCATACATAAAAACAAATTTCGTCTCCCCCCTCCTCTTTTCAAAAAAAAAATAGATGGACTAGTCCTGGCAAACTGCCATCGTTGCGCGTGACGCAAACGTTATTTTTATATATATAAATAAATATGCCGTTTTCAAAATAAATTTATGCAAACCGACACACCTGATGATGACCGTTTGAGTTATGGTCGAAACGTCGTGAGAATTTTTTATTGTTTTATATATATTTTGTTATTTTGTTGTTTCTCTTCAACGTGACTTTACCGAAAAAACTAAGAATATGAATTACTGCAGTCACGAAAGCTTTAAATCAAAATTTGTCTGTCGGCTGTTTGTCAACCCAGCTGTCAAGTGTCGCCGGTTACTACGACGGTGCGCGTATTTGTGTCGCACGCGTGTTAAAGATTCGGCAGGAGTCTACCAAGTTTCTCGCATATAAGCACACATTCACGCACAATAACCAGGAATCCACACTTAAGTGTTTTTAGCCGTCGCCTGTTAAGGCTTTGTCCTGAACTCAAACAGGAGATAGGATCGACACCATAACCCCAAATCATATGTTAGCATCATTACGCGAGGTTTTCCCCAATAAATATTCCCAGCCACATTTTGTTTCCGAGCACAGAAACAGACTAACTTTAGACCAAGTTTACCCAAACGATGCCAATCTCAGGTTCGGGTTCTCTTCGTCCCCCGGTGTGCATGTGAAACTATGGCTGGGAATTTAACCCAGGTTATTGGACAAACAATACCACCACTTGCACACAAAGACAAAGATCCCCTGTATAGCCTTGAACAGACTGTTGGGGAAAGTGCTGTTAGCAAGCACCCTATGAAGGCCAGCACGACGGGGTCGGTAACCAGCGCTGTGCCTGGCCGTCTTTGTCTCCCCAGTGCTGATGATGACACACCGCACCAGGTACTAATTTAAGGCTGAGTTGGCCTAGGGGAGGCCCAGCACTGATACTGATTGTAAACGGGAATCGAACTCGAGCCGCCGGTTTCATAGCACAGTGGGCTAACCACTTAAACACGCATGCATACATGCCAAGCATGTACACCCCTGCCCATTTGCGGGTGCATTAAAATGCGGCCGGGCGCGGTGCTGTCCATCCACCACTGCCATCGTGTGTATTGCCGGCCTTCATAGGGGCTCCTCAACAGTACTTGTCCCAAAGGTCTGCTAAGGCTATATGGGGGATCTTTGTCTTTGCGGCCGTGGTGCAGGTGCTGCACTGCAGCGGGCACATGAAGCTGTACGAGGGCAGCGCGGCGAGCGCCGGCGGGGGCGGCTTCCGGGAGCCGCCGCTCGTGTGCCTCGTCATGACCTGCGAGCCCATCCCGCACCCGTCCAACATAGAGGTGCCGCTCGACAGCAAGACCTTCCTGAGCCGCCACAGCATGGATATGCGCTTCACCTACTGCGACGAGAGGTAACGGGAAACCGGTAGCGGCTGCCCTCTTGCCCAGCACCTCGGATTAGCACGGTTGGCGACGTACAATGCAACAGAAGTTCAACGTAATCTGTGCATGCGCGGCGCTTGACCGCGTCAAGCTGACCGCGGTCGGTGCCGTCGCTCGCTCGCTGTGCCCGCCGACTGTCGTCGCCACGGTCATCTTCATCCTTGGTTGTTGCTGTCGTCATGACCGTTGTTACCATCACTCTTGTCCCATGTCAGAATAGCTGCAGCCATCGTCACCGTCGTAAGTGCTGTTACAGCTGTCGTCATCATCTGGCATCTGTTTTGTTGTCCTCGTCATAACCATAATTATCTTCATTGTTGTCGTCACCAGTGTAATTAGAATTGTATCCATGGTTGTAGTCATCATTCATCATCGTCGTCCTCTTTATCACCATAATCACAATCGTTGCCATTATCGTCATAACAATCGTCGTCATAATTGTTACGACCGTCTTTCATCATAATCATTCTTGTTGGAAATGTTTTCCATCTTGCCACATTATGTACGGAATGAATACATAAATAAATAAAACATCTCGTTAGATTACATTGGAGTTACATCACCACCATCATCGTCATTGCAAGTTCTGAGGATTTCAGTATTTTGGAGGAACTATGAGTTCCCAGAAATATATATCGTAAGAGTGCTTTCCCGTTCAAGAGCATTGAGGTGGTGCTTATCTCCTCTTCACAGCCCTGAGCTCAGTGGTGAAAGTTCCACATTGCCATGGTGGGGTCAAGTCTCTCCATCGAGGAACCACTGTTGACTTCACAAAGTGATGATCATTTTATCGACCCCTTAGGGATGATGGGTCGAGTGAACCCCCAACTAGGATTTGAACTCTCTAATAGATCCGGATAATGATGATGAAGCTGATGATGACAACGAAGAAGGCAATACCAGTCTGTATCAGGATGATGATCATAAATTTCGATTTAAAGCTTTCGTGACTGCAAGGATTCATCTTCTTTGTTTCTTTCGGTAAAGTCACGCAGAAAGGTACAGACCTGTCGAGACGACAGACCTGTCGTCTCGACAGACCTGTCGTCCCGACAGGTCTGTACCTGTCGTCCCGACAGGTCTGTCGTCCCGACAGGTCTGTCGTCCCGACAGGTCTGTACCTGTCGTCCCGACAGGTCTGTCGTCCCGACAGGTCTGTACCTTTTACCTGAAGACGGCCGCTTGCATTGTGGCCGAAACGTCGTGAGAATTTTATTGTGTTATTTTATTATTTTATTCTCATTCTGCGTGACTTTACCGAAAGAACCAAAGAAGATGATGATCATGCTGATGAAGAAAGCAATGCCAGTCCATTTCAGGATAATGATGATCATGTTTATATTGCCGATGCCTATAAAAGACTGGCAATCCACATCAAGCTATGATGATGATGATCAAGGCCATACCAAGCCACAGGATGATCATGATGGATGCTGATGACGATATTGTATTATTGGCCTGAATTGTGGTTGAATGTGCCGCACAGGATCACAGAGCTGATTGGCTACCAGCCCGATGAGTTGCTTGGCCGTTCAGTCTACGAGTACTACCACGCCCTGGACTCGGACCACATGACCAAGAGCCACCACAACTGTGAGTCTGTTGCATCAAGTTTTACTTTTAATGAAGAGCAGAACTCCCCCGGCGAGACGCGCGAACCAGCAAAGTGGAAAGTCCCTGGTCTGGTGAGCTGAAAAGTCCGGCTAGCCGCTGAAACAATCAGTGTCGATGCCAGTCAACGTAAATGAAACCTAAACAAACTGATTAAATATAAATATAACAACACATTAAACTTTCAAACATTCCAAAACCCACGTGTTAAATGTAAGAAGGGTAGTTTTTAACACAAGCTGGAGATATGCTAAAATGCCTTGGGTGCTGTATATTTATGGTGCATGCGTGCTGCACTGAATGCACAGCTGAGCTTATTTTGATGCTCTCCGAGAAGTAAATCACACAACACGACATCGGAGTGACATAAAGCCGAAGGGTCGGGGTTGTTCATTAAATTCCTCTTGCGGCATTTGCCAAACAAATGATTTTTGACTTAAAACTTTCGTGACTGCAGGAATTCATATTTTATGGTTCTTTCGGTAAAGTCACGTAGATAGAAAAAATTATAAAAATGAAAATAAAGTTAACAAGAATACATATATCACGACGTTTTTGATCGCAACACAAGCGGCCGTCATCAGGACTTTACCGAACGAACAAAAGTTCCCTCCCGGAAGAGTTACACTTCAGTGCAACGCCCATGAGCGCCACGAACCCGGTGACCCGAGTTCGATTCCCGGCACGTGACTAACATGAGTGGCGAGTGGCATCTGAACAGGCCCTGGGACTCCCCCTTATGTTGAGTACGCGTCAGTGCATCGTGTAAGCTTTAGCACTGGGGGAAAGACGAAGGCGACCGGGCGTGATGCTACAGGCCACACCGCGCACGCGCACCCCCTTGTGTGCTCTACTGGCCTTGCCACAGTGTGCGCTGACAGCGCTTTGCCCAGCAGCTTGTTTAAAGGCTACACGGGGGGGGGGGGGATCTATTTGTATCCGTGATGCCACGCAGTGTTTACCAAGGGCCAGGCCGTGACGGGGCAGTACCGCATACTGGCCAAGGGCGGGGGCTACGCATGGGTGGAGACCCAGGCGACCGTCATCTACAGCTCCCGCAACTCCCAGCCGCAGTGCGTCGTCTGTGTCAACTACGTGCTCAGGTTCGGACAATGCGAGGGAAAATAGTCGGCACTGCGTGGCCGACCTCGGAATGAGCGCGCTTGGCTACATACGGTGCGAAAGAAGTTCAACATGCGTACGTACTCGTGGCATTGATGTTGGAGGATGCTCTTTCATGCCATGAGATGGTGGATGCTGATGGCCGTGTGGCTGCTGTCCCCGCCGTCACCCTCTTAGGTAAACCAACTAAATTGGAGGTCACTTCTTCTCTGCTCCTGTTGCCCACAAAGGCTGAAACTCCCTGCCATTTTTAAATGTTCCCGAGTAATTGACAACAACAAAAGTAGTTGATTACAATCTCTTAGTCGATTGACCCAACCGACCATCGTGGCTCCCAATTGCTCGACGAGATGCCAAGCCTCGCTTGTCACCCGTGCACAGCGGGATCGTGGAGAACGACACCATCTTCTCGCTGGAGCAGACCGAGCGTCTCTTCAAGCCCAACAAAGCGGCGGTGGGACAAGTGGCGAGCGAGGGCACGGATGAGGAGGAAGACATGGCGCTGCTCTACACGCAGCTCAAGAACGAGCCCGACGAGCTGGCACAGCTGGCACCCACGGCCGGCGACGTCGTGGTGCCCCTCGACTTTGGTAGGCGGCGCTCTCTAACTCGCTCGTGCCCCTCCCCCTAAGCCCGCCTGTCCACTTGCTCTCTCACACGCCCGCTTCCTCTCTCTCCGTCGCAATCGCTGCCGATCCCTCTCGTCCCGCACGCGATCGGCCACCGCGTCGCATCTCCACGCCACCGTCGTCGTTGCCGCCTTGTCACGCGAGCAGGCACGGGCCTGGCGTCGTTCGACGACGTTCCGCTCTACAATGACGTCATGATGGCCGCCTCGCCCGAACCCATGCCGTCCCCGGCGACGCCGACCAAGGCTTTCGCCGAGCTCCCTGCGGCGGTGGTGGCGGTGACGGAGGCCGGCCCCGTGGGCGACCCGTCCCTCACGGCGCCGCAGCATTCGTCCGGTCCTTCGTCGCCCTCCGGCTCCCCGGCAACAGCTCCGTCCACGGCGGTACGGCACGCACCCCCCCCGGCACGCCCCCCCCCGGCACGCCCCCCCCGGCACGCCCCCCCCGGCACTCCCCCCAGCACGATCCCAAGGTCGCTTACGTTTGTGTGGTGGCATGGCAGTGATGCAAGACATCGGATTGTTGAGTTTCGGAAAAGCCATTTGATGGCCTCTGGAGTCCACAGTTGGATTCCATTTGTAGCGCCTGCAAAAACGTGAGTTGTTTGAGCAACGATCACCAGTCATGATCCGAGTTACGGGGCCCACACGGTGAAGTTGCAGTCGCAGTTCGGCGACTTTCTTAATTCTGTGAGAAATGAATCCTTGTGCGGGGGTTGAGGTGGGCGAGCAGGTATTTTGTGAGTTGAGGGGGTTGGGATATTTTACCCGCTTGTTCGCTGACCGCGTCGTACATTAACGCTGGAACGCCGCTCCCTCTGTGTGCAGCCGAACAGCCCCAGTGATTACTACTCGGCCGTTGGGGGTGACCTGAAGGTGGACCTGATTGAGAAGCTGTTTGCCGTTGACTCGGAGATCAAGGAGGGCAGCTTCAAGCACGTACGTGAATCGCCTGCGCACTGATCCTCGCAACACGTGGGGACATTCTTCTTTTGCTCGGGAGGTGGTTGAGTGGCTCGAGAGGGTCGGAGAAACTGAACCAGCACCGCCCAGGACCTGGGTTCGGATCCAGGTTTGGCCAGCTGTGGTTAAATCTGGTTCTCAAATGTAGCGAGTTGACAGTCTCGTCATGACCGCGTGTGAATGGAATTATATTGATTTTATTCACTTATTTTGGCAATCTTTCCTCTCTGAGAATTAAAAGATACATTGGTTTGACAGCCATGCAATGGACATGTCTACAGCAAGTCACATGGCAAAATGCATTTCCCCTAGTGTGGAAAAATGATCACTTGAATTTATTTGATTAGTTCTGACTGGCAATTAAATAGCACGTTTGGCTCCGTACGGTTCAAAAGAGGTTCAACATACATTGAGAGTGACAAGGAAGCGACTTTGCGACTGTAAACGGCAATCGATAAGTACAGGAACTGTCATTCAACTGAACTGCCTCTATTGAATTCTGTCTTGTGGGTTAGCCGGGTAAAAAGTCTTGTGTGTTTATGTGCGAGTGTGGCGATACACACGCGACAATTCCCCCACGAGGCCTGTGTAAACAAGGTTGTCCTCCCTCGAACCCTCCCTCCATTCTTCCCTCCCCTCCAACCCCATCCACTAGGATGACATGGACCTGGAGATGCTGGCACCGTACATCCCGATGGATGGCGACGACTACCAGCTGTGCACGTTGAGCCTGCAGGACTCGCTTACGCTGCCGCCCGACGGGTCCGCCCTCTCCTCGCCCGGGCAGGTCAGCTCCGCCGGGCGGCCAGTCCGTCATCCGTTAGAACTTTGTACTGTCTAATTCGTTTTTTGGATGGCATTGTGTTGTGTGATTTGAAGCTTTTGTGACTGCAGGAATTACTCTTTGGTTCTTTCGGTAAAGTCACATAGAAAGAAAATACATTCAATAACAGAATACGACGTTTCGATTGCAACACAAGCAGTCGTCTTCAGGTAGAACTAAATTTGAGAGAGAGACAAAACACAGACACGGAGACACACACAGACACACAAGCAGAGAGAGACAACACAGAGAGACACACACCATAGACACACAGAGACCCAATGCTTCTGTTTCGGTGGATTTCCACACAACTCTCTCTAAAAAAAAATACCATATATGCTGGGTCTTTCTCTCCCCCTGCTGCCGCAGGGTGGATTTCCACACAGCTCTCTCATTGACATGCTAATTTATCTGCTCCAGCAGACCCACCTCTCTCTCTGCCCCCCCCCGTCTCTATTTAAGGCGAGGCTAGGTGCACTTTGAGGCCACGTGAAGTGGCAGGAGGTCGCAGGACAGACCCAGGTGCCATGGGTTGACTGACTGAGATGACTGCTCGATGCACCACCTGTGGTGCCCCCTTCTGCGCCAACTTGCGTTTTAGCCGCTTGTTGTTGTGAGCGTCACTCCTCCGCCCTCCACTGTTGCTGGAGGGCGACTGCCTCCAACTCTCTAGTTGCGTCCTTCACGAGCCTCCTCCTCCACAGAGGCCGATCCTGACAGCGCTGGTATGAGTCATCAGCAAATCCACTCAGCTCCACATCCCTCCTCTCCCCCCCTCCCCTCCCATGCCTCACGCATTCACAGAGCGAGCGGTCATCATCATCGTCAATGGTGGATGCTCCGACCCCGGCCTGCGGCCCCACATCATTGCCCCCCGCCGCCCCGCAGCCCCCGTCGCCGTCGCTAGCGGCACCGGAAGGCCCTGCCTCCCCGTCGAGCCGGCACACGGCCACGATGCCGGCAGAGGTGAGAGGCTATGCGGGCGCGGCGTGACGCGCGCACGCGTTGAGGTGCCAACCCTCCGTGGGGTCAGGTGCGCAGTTGCGCTTGCGGAATTTCACATTTGTTTTTGCTGTGCTTGCGATGAACCCATTTTTGTTCGCCCGCCGCTGGATGAGGGCTTCCGCACGGGCGTGGGAAGGCCGTCCTCCAGCAGTGAGTGAGTTGACAGGCTTGTCAGCGCACGTGTGGACCACTTTTTTTTGTCAATGATTGCATAGTGCGAATATAACCTTTTGCAAGTGTGCGAAAAGATTGCACCTTCGGGCACCCGATTTAGTGCGGCTAAGATGTTTGCAGCGATGGGTGAATGAATCGATCAATCATAGTTCATAGGTCTCATACACCGTTAAACTGATGTTATAGCAGGTGCAGCAAAATGGTTGTTGTCAGCTCCACAACATTACAAATAATCAACAACAATTTGAAAAAAATGTGGTCTGCGGGCCGTTTCAAAGAGGTAGGCGTGGTGTGGCCTACCTCTTTAAATCAGGCTGTAGGTTCCCTACCCCTGGCCTTAATTCCATTAAAAACTGAGATGGTGTCTTTTGCACCTTGGTGACAACATCCTCATCTTCCCTCTCCCACAACCTCCCAGCAGGCGAACTTAATCGTGACGAGCAGCCAGAGCAAGTTAGCGCCGACAGCCCCGCCGCCGTTCACCATGTCCACGGTGCACATCCTCATCAGCGGTACGACGCCGGTCGGCACCACGCTGCCCGGTGGACTCGTGTCGGCCGTCCCGTGGTCCAGCACCGCCACCACCACGACCGGCGCCGTCGTAAGCGCGCCCACCACCATTGTCCTGCTGCAGCAGGCGCCACGTGCGCAGACCGTCGCCTCCCTGCCCAGCACCGTCGTGGTCAGGTGAGTGACCCCCACCACCTATGCAACGGGGGTTCAATGGAATGGTCAGTGATCTTCATCGTCGGGAATTATTCTCTATCCACTGCTAGATATGGGAGAGTTTGGATGTATGGGGTGTCCAAATGTGTCTGCATCTCACGGCTCTGTAGAGAAACAGTGGGAATGTTATTTTATAGACGCAGTCAGTCGTAGATCCTGATATGTGAGTGTGTGTCCCTAAACGAGACTACGTGAAGCTATAGGTCTGTCAATCTGTGAGTCCTTGAGCCGCTATGCGAGTCTGTGTTCGCGTGCGAGACTGTGAATCTATTGGTCTATGCGAGTTTGTTTGGTTCCTTCGCAAGTCAAAACAATGTCGGTAAAATATATATAAACAGTGTCTACGCGCAACCTCATTTTGTGATGCCGTACACAAACAGTGGACGCCTTTATTTCATAGAGAGGCAGTCGGGGGGGGGGGGGGGAGGCGTGGAACCTCTAATTCAGCAGGCTTAGAGAGCGATTGGGTTGTGACAGGACAGTAGAAGTGATAATGGCTGGTGCTCAAGACTAACAACAGTGACGAGCCAAAACGGAACACGCCCCACATAGTACTCCCACCGTGGGGATGGAACGATGATATCGGCTCGTGTACACAAGCCGGATGGATCGCTGCATCATCGTGAGATCGCAACACAGATGGGCGACGGCTTTCGCGGGGAGGCTTTCATCCGGAGGTGGATACATTACGGACGATGCTGACGCGGTGATTGTCGATGTTGCAGCGGCAGTGACGCGAGTCTCGCGAAGGCGTCGCTGACGACGATTGCGAGCGCCGTCAAGCGCAAGTGGCAGACGGGCACCACGGGGCCCCTCCTCCAGCAGGTGGCGGCACTTGCCCACAATGCACCACCCGCTACACTTGCGCGGCACCCGCACCTACAAATGTGGATGCGATTGATTGAAACGCATTCTTCCGCTCGTGATTGACGCTTCTTAAATTGTCGTGCGTGAGGATCGTTAACGGTTTTGTAGAAGTTATATGACGATGATGTGCTTGTTTTAAATTTAAACTCAATGAAGCAAGAAAAACCGCACCTCCGATTAGCACGTCCGGCTACGTACGATGCGAAAATAAGTTCAACAGACATTAGTAGAAAACTAAAATTTAGAAACAGGAAAAAATCTCTGGTACAGATGAGACAAAGAGTCAAGTCCTGAAACGATTTGTGACCCCCCCCCCCCCCCCCCCCTGCTATCACCTCTTCCCAAGAGTCTGAATATTCACAATTTACTCTCCAGATTAGAGTTATAATTATCCTTGTTGTGAATGTAGATTTTCAGGAACCAACTATATGCAATATTTCATATATATACGAATATAAATAAATGTCTTTACAGGCATAATGCAATGTATGTATCAGGAGTGGAAGAATCGATGATCGTTTCATAATCTCTGGCTAATTAAAGCCACACCAAAACATTAAATTCTGAGCAAGAACGTACTGTTTAATTCAATGTTACAAACGCATTTTATCAAACACATTCACAGGCTCGCATCTTGAAGGACGTAGCCACATTGCACCCCCTCAGCTTAATTGCACCATCGCTTGAGGAGGTCGGCACCTTTTAACCGCACGTCGGATGAAGATGAACGCTTGCCGCCACTCTTATCGATCTCCTTGTCCTCTGCGGATGCCCCCAGGTCGTCATTAACAAACAGGAAGGTGCCAACAAGACGCAATTCCTAGCGGAATTGCCGTCGAAACGGAGCAAGGCATCGCAAGACGTGGAAGCGGAGGCGCTTACGTCAGGTAAGCCGTTAATGTAATCTTATATTAAAGAAAAAAATTCCCCCAAATTGTGTAGGTAGAATTGTGCTGTTAATTGGCGTCACGTATGTGTATGTATGTTGAACTTTTTTTTTCAACGTGCGTAGCCAACCGCGCTAATCAATCGGAGGTGTGGGGGGGGGGGAAGGACAACAAATTAAACAAAAAAAATAGTCGAAGAACCAATTATTAACTCTTGTGCTGCATTACAGCTTTCACGGCCCGTGAAAACTGGTACCATAGAGCTACTTCTGATCTACACGTGAGAGGGGCAGCACTTTGTCCCCCACCCTGCAGCAGAGTTTAATTTATTTACACGGGGGGTTGTTATATCTGCTTCATTGGGCCGTTACGAATTGATTATTGGCCTCGCAACATCACTCAGAGCACAATCGGGGCAATATTAAGGATAGAGACCAAACGTATAAAAAGCAGCAAATTTGACCAAGCATTGAAAATGTATCCGTAGCTGCATGGAGGCTGTGCATATTATGCGTGCGTGCGTTTTGAAGTTTCTCCCTACGCCGTGGTTCAATCCACAGACCTCGTCAGCCGGCTGCTGGGCCCGACTCTGGAGGACATCACGCTGCCGATGCTCAACAGCTACGACTGCGAGGTGAACGCTCCGGTGCAGGACAGCCGCACGCTCCTGCAGGGTGAGGAGCTGCTCAAGGCCCTCGACCAGCTGTCCTGAGCAGACCTTTCACCTCCTCTACCCCCATAACGTCTCTGCTACCCCCCACCACCAGCCCAATATACCTCCCCATCCAAACCTTTCCTTTTGACCCCCCACCAATGTCCACTTAAGTGTCTCTCGCCTTGCCCCCTCTCTGTGTTTTTGTCAGTCGCTTGGGTCACTCATAAAAACATTGGCGGTGATTCCCGCCATGGGTGTTGGTGTGTGATTTCCCCCCCCCTGTGTGACACAGGCGGAACAAGTTGGCAACAGTCACTTTCCGCCGTCAAGACTAGAGAGACGGAGATTTAAAAAAAATGAAAGTAAAAACATCACAGTTCAACATTTCAACCGACGATCCCTCCAGTACAATGCCTTATGTAAACTTTCAGAGATGGGTCCATCGAGCAATTTGTCTCTTTGCACAAACATGTGAGCATGTTACTCACCCGGACATGGACACACATACGTACAACCCCCTACAATCCGTTCCTTTTGTCCCTTTGCCACAATTGTGATGGGTGTCAGAACTTGGTCAGGGATTTGACAGCCAGGCTTGTACAAACCGACAGAGGCAGCAATGCTGCAAATGTAAATGTTGGAATCTCTACATTTCCCCTTGTTTGTGCAGCTATGAATTGTATTTTCCTGTATTATTTCCACGTTTTTGTTGTATCGTTTCAAAGAGCTTGTATGGCAATTGACAGAGGACGAGCCTGTGACTCAAAACCAAGCAGACCAGATTATCTGGCCGAGTTTTTTTTTATTTTGTGTTGCGTCCGTGTACTGTCTTGCACGGCTTTGTCTTGTGGTAACAGACGTCCTCTTAGGACATGAATGGATCGGGTGTGCCGACAAGTCCAGAGGGACTCATGAATACCGGCTTATTTTTTTCTCCAGAAAATATAATGGTTAACTTATATAAAAACAATAACAATTTAATAGATAAATGGGGGAGAGAAAAACTTTCTTTTTTAAACACACCAGGGTAGGTTGAGTGTATGTGCTGTCATTTTAATTATCACCATTTGGATCAATACGCAAATGGAAACATTTTTACAAAATAATACGCAGAAGTAATGCTTTTATTTAGATTGAGTATTTTTTCATAGATGCCTGGTTGAGTTTATTGTTATTCTGCTCAAATATATATTATGGTGAACTTCAAGGTGGTATTTTTAACGTTTCCATGCTTGCTTTAGTAGTGGCATAGTGGCAACCCATTGCTTCCACGAATAATAATGGTTCTTTTAAACATCGAGAATTCACGAGGATCACGAACCGGCTTCCAGGGTGCGGCAATATGAAACCCGCACGTCTGCCTGCTTCTCTAATGCTTCTCTTTCCACTGTACAACCGAGCCACACCCGTGCCGAGCCAGCCCGGAGCAGCTCGGGAGAGGCGCCAAGTTTTTCTAGCGCAGAACTGGAGCCATGCCGCCGACGTCACACTCACTGAATTGCACGCGTGTCGTCGGGGTTAAGCGTTGAAGTGTACCGTCTAGACGCAACGTATGACGAAAATAATTAACCCCCTGTCCGCTGAGGCCATCCTTGGCCTCGATCCAAATTCAGGTGTGTTACGAGTTCACCGTATCACGTTTTTTTTTGTGTACTGGCTTCGGTTTGGAAAGTAGCAGGTGGAAAACCGGTCGGTGTGTATGGGTGAGGGGGTTCCCCCGCGGTGGCGCAGCTCAGATGTGCCAGTGGAAAAGGGGGGTGGTCAAGGGCTGTCCAACGCTGACACGCACAACCTGGGACAGTGCTCGCCCTAATAGCGGCATCTGCCACTGCCCAGTACAGAAAGCAAAGAGCGGAATGTCGGTTCTGTCTCACAAACAGTGCAGTCGTGAGAAACGGTAAAGCCTCGTTTCCGAGCTCGGATCTTTCATATGCCAAAACATTTTTACAACTAAGTTAACGTTAACCAATTGGGATGAAAATTAAGGTTCGATGTGCAAGATGCCGAGTGGAAATCCAGGATTCTGCTTTTCACTTGACCTCAATGTTAGCATTCGATACGATGCATGCGTTAAGTAGGGTTTGATTTGTTTTCCCTTACGAATACTAAGCACCTTTAAAATTTAACCATACTGTACTGTGTCTGCAGTAAGGTTTCAAAACATTTGTAGCTGATTACAATATCTGTGAGTGTAATTGGTAAAGGGAGTAAACGCGTTTGTTTTCATTTGAGTGCAATTTATTTTCAAGGCTGCACAATTTTGATAATTATGGTGCCATTCTCATATTCGCTTCATCGCGCACCATTTACAATGGGGTTCTTTTCACTCGTTGAATATTTTCTCCCAAAATTATATCTCGATGAACTGTCTTGAGAGCAGCCATGTGTTGTGGTGTGACTAGGGTGTGACTGCTAGTTATAGTGACTAGTATGTAAATGCCACACACAATATAAATTTAGTTGGGTTGTTTATTTGGTCTTGTTAGGGAGCAATAACAGGCTGTTACAATCCTAACTTCGTGTATTGTACCTTGTAAGTTTCCTTGGTTTTAATTTGACAAGAGCTCTTCCACGCACTATCACCTTTAAGAAAGATAATTTTGTGACATGTACGTTTTAGTTGTCATCTGTATTTTAAAATGAAATAAACGAATAGTTTTAGTCATATTTCTGTGAAATTTATTTCTCCGTTCCACAAGTGTTGCGGGCACAATTTACACGGTTCAATATTAACGTCATGCATTGCCCAAGTCGTTCCGATAAAAGGAAACTTATGTGGATATATATCGGCGACGTGTTGGGAAATGGACATTATTCACAGCAGAGAGGTAAGTAACAATGTAATTTAAGATTTCGTTTGGGCTCTTTGGCCTTGGGACTTTTGAATGAAATGAACAGAAACCTGAGTAAAGTCAGTGAATGCTGGCTTAACGAAAAGTTTGAAACAAACCCTGTGGTTACAGGAAACCTCGAGTCCTGTGAGTATACGTTCTTCAGAATCCGAATCAGAAAGGGTTTTATTCACCATGAAAGTTCGCACAGACAAGGAATTGACTTTGGCAGGAAGGTGCATACATTCAACATATAGGAATCTGAAATAAGTGGTATACAAGTCTTACTATACTAAAGGTACAAAGTCTAACACTAAGGGACTAAAGTATGTAAAATTTTGAATAAATATTGAATATAAGATACAATATAAAAATACAAATAGGGTAACAGTGTAAATATGGCAAGGTGTCATTTTGTAGATAAAATGTTAAAGTCAGTGTAAGCCCTTGGCCAGCAGCGGATGGGAAGAAACTTTTTGTGGCGTGAGGTTTTGGTCCTGATGGATCGCAGCCTTCTGCCGGAGGGGAGTAGCTGGAACAGAGAATGTCCAGGGTGGGAGGAATAGGCCACAATCTTCCTCGCTCGCCTCATGTTCCTCGTGGTGTGCAGGTCCTCGAGGGATGGTAGATTGCAGGCAATCACCTTCTCAGCAGTGTGAATGATATGCTGCAGTCTGCTCTTGTCCTTGGCAGTGGCAGCAGCGTACCAGACGGTTATGGAGGAGGTGAGGATGGATTCAATGATTGCTGTATAGAAGTGCACCATCATTGTCTTTGGCAGGTTGAATTTCTTCAGCTGCCGTAGGAAGTACATCCTCTGTTGAGCTCTCTTGGTGAGGGAGCTGATGTTCAGTTCCCACTTGAGGTCCCGGGAGAGAATAGTGCCCAGGAAGCGGAAGGACTCTACAGTTTTGACTGGGGAGTCGCACGTTGATGGGTGTGAGTGGGGCTGTATTCCTGAAGTCCACAACCATCTCAACTGTCTTTAGAGAATGTAGCTCTTAAGTTCTGGCTACACCAGGTCACCAGGTTGTCAGCTTCCCACCGATAGTCAGACTCATCCCCACCAAAGATCAGCCCAATGAGGGTGGTGTCGTCCGCAAACTTCAAAAGTTTGACGGACAAATGATTGGAGATGCAGCTGTTGGTGTACAGGGAGAAGAGCAGTGGGAAAAGGACGCAGCCCTGAGGAGTTCTGGTGCTGATGGACCTGGAGTCGGAGACTTGTGTTCCCATCTTAACGCACTGCTTCCTGTCAGACAGGAAGTCTGTGATTCTTCTACTCCAAGCTAGATCTCGGAATCTAAGCGGGGTTGAGATGGGCAAGTGCTTGGATCGACAACCATCATACGTAATAGCTTGAGCTGTGGAGGGAGCTACGTGGTTGCAGCAGACCAAAATTAATTGCACTATGTCTATGCTCCCTGCTTTTACAGTGCTGACCGGCGTGGTAAAGTATGGCCAAATAACTCCACGATGACTCAAGTCGTGGAGGGGGGGGGGGGAGGCCTTCATCCAGCGGTGGATTGACAAAGGGCTCTATAATTACTCTTTGGTTCTATTCGGTAAAGTCACGTAGGTAAAAATAAAATAACAAAAAATCACGACGTTTCGGCCACAACACAAGTGGCCTTCAGGTGCTGGACTGTCCAGAGGACAGCGTTGGAGTGAAGACAGCACGCCCGGGTCGCGTCCTTTAAGCTGTGTGGGAGGAAACAAAAAAAACGCCTTGACAAAGGAATTATAAAATAATGTACTGGACCGGCACGGTGGGGGGGGGGAGTTTACATAATGTTGGTGTGAAGGGAAATAAGCTGCTGTGAAAGTTTGGGATACCACTACTTGAATAAATATACTGTACCATTCACACCAACATTATGTAAACTACCCCCCCCGCCACCGTGCCGGTCCAGTACATTATTTTATGATAATTCCTTTAAATTTTGATTTAAAGCTTTCGTGACTGCAGTAATTCATATTCTTAGTTTTTTCGGTAAAGTCACGTTGAAGAGAAACAACAAAATATATATAACAAAAAAATATATACATTCGTCAATAACACCGTGGAATTTAAGGGGCGATTATATGCACTGAAGTGTAATACACAACAAAGTGTACTACAAGAATGCTGCGCGACTGATGGGATGTTAAAAGCTTTTTATGTTTTCACATATATAGACGCCAAATTGTGTGATTTAATTGATGTATGAGAATAACAATTAGCGTCGTGAAGAATTTTAAAAAGTGAAGTTAATAAGCAGACTGGATACTATAAAGGGACCTTTTTGCCACTATCAAAGTACTCTTTGGTTTTGTCGGTAAAGTCACGTAGGTAAAATCAATTAAATGAAAACTAAATTAAATCACGACGTTTCGGAGGCAACACAAGATTCCGTCTTCAAGGGGAAACCTTCACAGCAAAATTGCTGTATCAAGGTGATACAGCTGTATCAAGGTGATTGCTGTATCACCTTGATACAACAGAATTGCTGTGACGGTTTCCACCTGAAGACGGAAGCTTGTGTTGCCTCCGAAACGTCGTGATTTAATTTAGTTTTCATTTATTTTATTGTCACCTCGTTGACTTTACCGAAAAAAAGAGTGAATCCTTGCAGTCACGAAAGCTTCAAATCTAGAAGTATTAAAGTAGCATAAATAAGAATAGATTTTTCCCTTTCTGGCAATAATAAAACAGGTTTTAAGATGTTCAAACACCTAATAGAAACATTTTGCAAGGAATCAAGTCTGCATTAACCACACAGTACTTGTCAACATGCAAATACAAATTGGAGATCAAAGCCACAACATTCACATTATTGGTGTTTGCTGCTCTCCAACACACCGGTGTGCTGTACTCGTAACGAATTGGCACGTTCTGTTTACGTGACAAAAACATTACTAATTGACTGTATCGGGTGGTGGTGGCGGGTTTAACGACACAAATTGCATATTTACGCGATCTCGCCTCGAAAAAAGTTATTATTTACTACTTTAATGAGCCAAGAATGTCTGTGTCCCGCGTATGACCTCACTCCACGTCAACCAGCCCCCCTCATTAATCATGAACAGGTGACGTCCTCCAAATAGACACCTCCCCTACATAAATATTAATTAGCGGCTGACGTCACTCCACATGGGGGGGGGCGAGGCGCCTCCTTCCCCCCTCCTCGGCGTCAACTTACAACCCCCACGACAAAGGCAGAACCCTCACGTCACGTGATCTCCGTAACGCTGTTGAGACATCAAAGTAAAAAGGACGTCATGATGAACAAGGGATTATAACCTTTAAATGAAATAGGTCTGTGTCACCGCGGCCTTACAAATTGCACACGCATTGATGCAATGAATATATCACGTTGTGGTCTGCTTTTCGCTTGCAAGTTTCAGATTTACTGCAATACACCCGTCCTTGCACGGGCAAAAAGCGAGTCTATTTATATAATAGGAAAATTTGTGAATGTGTCTGTTCGCAATGTTTAGGGGCCGTCCATAAATTACATCACACGATTTTGGACGTTTTTTTACCCCCCCCCTCGTCACACGGCGTCACAAAAAGTCAGACCCGCCCTCCAATATGACGTCACAAAGCTCTGCCCCCCCCCCCAAAACCATATTTCCATTTTTAAAATAAAGCATGCTTCAAATCGCTTTAAACTATTGTCATTGTAGTGCGTATTTAATGTGGCGCTGCACTCTGATGTTGTACGAGAAAACATAAAAAGTTTATTTGATTAAGTAGAGCGTGTTGTTTACATTTATTTAAAGATGCGCATTTTGATGTGACGTCACATTTCTCAACTCCCCTCGTCACACATCGTCACAAATGTCTGACACCCCCCCCCCCCCCCGGTGCGTGACGTCATTTATGACGTCACGCACCTGGGTGACGTCATACTTCCCGACATGCAACTTGAAATTTGGCATGTGGGTAGCTTCCAGACTGTACACAAGGCAAAAAGTATAAAAAATACTTTTTATTTTGGGGGGGGAGGGGGGCGTGCAATAATGGATATATTTTGCAAGGCAAGTGAGCTGTAACGTCACATCTGTGATGTCACTCGCATGCGGCAGCGTCACGCAGTTGGCCTGCAGACGTCACGCAGTGTGCCTGCCTACGTCACGCACCCCCCCCCCCCAACCCTCCGCGTCGGCCGTGTATTAATCTAAGACAAGAAATTTTTGATTTAAAGCTTTTGTGACTACAGGGATTCATATTCTTTGTTCTTTCGGTAAAGTCACGTAGAAGGGAAACAATAAAATAATAAAAATATAAAACAATACAATTATAATCTTGGTTCTTTTGGTAAAGTCACGTTGAAGGGAAAGCAATAAAATAATAAAATATATAATAATAAAATATATAACATAATAAAATATATAATATATAAATATATATAATATATTGGTTTTCACAGAATTGTATTGAATTTTGATTTAAAGCTTTCGTGACTGCAGTGATTCATATTCTTGTTTTTTTCGGTAAAGTCACGTTGAAGGGAAAACAATAAAATAATGAAATATATAAAAACAATATATAAAATATATTGTTTTTATATATTTATATATTGTTTATATATTTATATATTATATTGTTTTAATATATTTTATTATTTTATTGTTTTCCCTTCAACGTGACTTTACCGAAAAAACCAAGAATATGAATCACAGCAGTCACGAAAGCTTTAAATCAAAATTCAATACAATTCTGTGAAAACCACACACCTGATGATGATTGCTTGTGTTGCAGTCGAAACGTCGTGAAAATGTTACTGTTTTATATTTTTATTATTTTATTGTTTCCCTTCTACGTGACCTTACCGAAAGAACCAAGAATAC